TATAGAAAATTCTCATTTATCAATAAAACAAAGTACAACCAATACATTGCCGGCTACATGGGAGTACCACCCTAAGTGGGCTAGATAAAGCCAACATATTCCCAACACACACATTCTGCATCCATACTACCTTCAAAGCTTCCTGCTAGCCTATATTATTATCCAGACATAGCTAAACTCCACAACCCAGCCAACAGACATAAAATCACAATGAAACTTAGACTTAAGGAAATTACAAAAATGGAACATTCAACAACCACAAGAACAACACACACCACCACTAATTTAATGCAACCCCTCACTAACATATTATTGCCCCTTTTTACTGGTACAAGCTAGAAACTCTTGCCACTGTTGGACTGCAACCTTGACTACCACATGAGCTGGTCTTCTAGTATGTTCAAACATCCACAGATTGCGGCACTTCCATAGCCACCAAAGAATATACGTTGACAGTTGAATGCGGGCTTCAGAAGTGTCACTATGGTCCAGTTGACAGATTTGCCACCACCATGATTTAAAGTTCTCTTTCACTTTGGGTCCACTCCAATTGACAGGGGATAACTTCCATACATCTTGTGCAGTCTTGCAATAAAAAAGAACATGTTCTATAGATTCTTTATCCTCCCCACGCTGAGCACATATAGCATCCACCTTAACTTCTCTAGCCTGTAATTGTGTTCCCACTGGTAAGGCCCCATTACAACATCTCCAAATGAAATGTTTTATTCTCCCCATGACCTTGAGATTCCAGCTCCTCTTCCTAACTTTTAAGTCAATAACTGGATCCTCACTCCCCTGTGCATTGCAAAGTTTAAGATATTTTCCTCTGATAAGGTGGGCATATGTAGACTTCACTGAGAAAATTCCTTGCTTATGTAACACCCATTTCCATTCATCCTCCTGAGATGGGTCAATAGTATCTATAGCTAAAATGGCTGAGCTCCAGTCCTCTGGAAAATATCTCCTCACTTTTGCTACATCCCAGTGAGTACCTTCATCATTCATTAGATCCCTTACCTTTTTGATGCTTCTGTCTACTCCAGGTAGAATCACCACCTCCTGGCCTATCTATAGCTAAAAATTGTCACTGAAAATTATAAAATAGTAAACTTTGAAGACTCGGCAAGTGTATGACCGATTAAATTAACATGAAACTCCATCAATAAAAATATAAATTAAGTGTTTAATAATAAATCTACATGAATAAATAACACCCATAGAGATAAAAAGTAAAAAAAAAAAAANAAAAAAAAAAAAATGAGGGAGATTCGAGAGTTATTTTAATAAACACTAAATTTACAAATTATAAAATAGATAAAAAGCATAATTGAGCAGTTAACCGAGCATAGGTGAGTATTACAAAAGAAAAGACTACGTAAAATTACAAATAGCTCAAGCCGAGTCGAACACTGACTTTATTAAGGTGTACTTATTTTTTCAATTATGCTTGAGCTGAAGCTCGATTTTTAAGGCATGACTCAACTTGACTCCACAAAATTTACAAATACTAGATGGTTTGAACTGGCTCTCATGCTCAAAATTTGCTCGAATGCAAGTTGAAAATTAATTCAAAACTTCATACTCAAATAAGATTTTTTTATGAATTTAGTTTTAATTACATGTATTTGATTAATTAAACTCATATGATTTGGCAAGCATATGAGCTAATAACATATAAGCTCCACTTTGCTCGAATCCGATATCGAGATGCTCAACCTCGATTCTTGCTCTTCAAACTCGAGCCCGACTCATATATTAAAATTAAAATTTAGAATATTATCAAGTATAGCTGATTTTTGTGTTTTAATGAGTTTTGCTATGGAACCAACGGTTGGTTCACAGTAGAGCCAACCTCCTATATATAGCAAGTACAAAATAATATAGTTTTTAATTAATAGAAAACACAACTAACAACTACTAATTAATAAGAAAAATATTATTTATAGTTAACAGCTACTTAATATGAAAATACAATTAATAACTACTCAACCACAATAAAAATAAAAGCACTTATATTTTTAAATTTAAATTTAAGAAAATAATAAATACTACAAAAAGTTTGTACTACTTTTTCAAATTATATAAACTACTTAGTTGTACATATTATTATTAATTCTAATGTTTAACTAAAATGATTCAAATAAATTTTAAAAATTTAAATAATATTACAAATGTTTTGTAGCATTTATTTTTCACTCAAATTTAAAAATATAATTACTTTTACTTTTTCAATATTATTTATTTCTCATCAATTTGTTGATTGTATTTTTGTATTTGATTATGGAATATGATATTCTCTACTTACTATTTATAAGAGGCTGGCTTCATTATGGAGCCAAGGTTTCAAAGCAAAACTCTTAATTAATAATAATAAATAAATACAAACAATTAATGAAACTATAATTGGTATATAAAATTATAAATAAATACAAAGAAAGCCGAAAATAGGAGAAAAAACAAAGTCATCCCTTCTTCTTCCGCTCTTCTTCCCGTTCATCCCTTTTTCTCCATCTTCCTCCTTCAAGCCATCCGAAAACCCTCAGTTTTTATGAGCGAGGAGGAAAAGAAAAAGAGAGAAAAGTAAATTGAATTTGAATCCCTTAACTAGAACGCTAGCCCACCATCAGCTGGTTCCTGTTTGCGCGAATATATATAGGGGCGTTGAAATTGTGTAATCAAGCGCAGTCGTGGTTTGAAATTTGCAGATCTGGTGCTTTTTTTTTGATGGAGTAACTTATTCTTGGCTGTTTTTTCGTTTCTTTGGTTATTTGGAGTTTGCTTGTTGATTGTCCAGCTGTTATTGTTGTTGCTGAATGTACGACAGTTTATGGGTTAGGGTTTTGAATTGATTGGCTCGTGTAACTTTTGATCGGGAGTATAGTGTGGTTTGAATTTTTTGTTTGTTTTTGGGCTATTTTTCACGGTTAAATTGAATTGTTGATTTTTTTTTTTTATCAATTATTCTTTGAAACTTCGTTTGCCTCAGTTATTCCCTTTTCCCCTATACATCGTTATGCATTTTTTGAAAGACAAACGTGTTATCTCATATTTTGACTTTAGCCAGGTAGAGTTAGGGTTATAAGTATTGATAAGTACTTGGTCTTTCGAAAATTTGATGCCTCGATGGTTCTCCTCAGCTGTGAGTGGCTTGGTTGTACGTATTTGTTATAGTAAGTAAATCTTAAACGCGTGGCATGATTAATTTGTCCTAAATTCAATGTATTACAAGTCTCTATTTAGAAAGTGGTGATGTGGGTGATGAATCTGGTGGCGGTTAATAATTTACAAGTCTTTATTTACAAGTCTTTTAGAATGCGGGTACAAAGGTTGAAACGCAATAACGTTCAATGGGTATTTAAAATTTAAGTATCTTTTTATTATGAATAGATAAATACGACAAAACTTGTTTAGGCGATCTGATATATTACACGCAGGATTTTTTCTTAAGTTCAGTTTAGTAGGTGTCATCACAAAAGGTGTAGTTGCAATCAGCAAACCCGACGTTGAAAAAATATCTTCAAATATCTTTTGGCTGCTTGTGATCTTGAAGCTGTTGAGATAGGGCAGAAAATCAAATTGTGACCTGTGTTCATGTCTTTTTTAGCGGCTAGTTAGTATTTTACTTCATATTATTTATAGAATATGTGGTCCATGCATGATATTGGAGGAATCAGAAGTGCATCTTGTACACTTGTGAAGATTTTTATCTCTGTTTTTTTAACCATACCATTTATTTCCAGTCAATATGTTTTACTGCAGGTAGTTTTGGGTGGATTTAATGTCATATATCCGTGTTGCGGCTGTATATCTTGATTCTTGGGGCCTTTTATTTTATGAAAGATGACCATGGTGATGGATAAAGACGAAAAAAATTCAACAAGAGATCGCGTTCAGTGCCTTTTCAACAAGGTATATGCTCCTATGGTTTTTCATTTTTAGATGGATCAGTTATTTGTTCTGGTTTTGTGCATGTGGAGTAGAATAAGTTATTTGGATTGATGTTGACTAGAGTCTTGCATATGCGTTGTGTTGGTCTACTTTCTTAGTAGATAAGTTAATTGCTACGTGTTCTGCTTCTTCATCTTATTGCAGAATGTTGAATTGGAGAACAAGCGGAGAAAAGCTGCTCAGGCCAGGATCCCTTCAGATCCCAACACATGGCAGAATATGCGGGAAAATTATGAAGCAATTGTCCTTGAAGACCATGCCTTTTCCGAACAGCATGATGTAGAATATGCTCTGTGGCAATTGCATTATAGGAGGATTGAGGAACTAAGGGCACTCTTCAATGCAGCTCTTGCTTCTGCAGGATCTCAAAATGGGAAAGGTCCTGTCCGTCCCGGACCTGATCGGCTTACGAAGATCCGTTCCCAGTTTAAGACGTTTCTTTCTGAGGCAAGTGGATTTTATCATGATCTGATGTTGAAGATACGAGCAAAGTATGGACTGCCATTGGGATATATTTCTGAGGATTCTGATAATCAGATTTCTATAGCAAAAGATGGAAATAAATCTTCAGAGTTGAAAAAAGGCTTGATATCTTGCCATCGTTGCTTGATTTATCTGGGAGATTTGGCACGTTACAAAAGCTTGTATGGGGAAGGGGATTCTAAAGCCCGGGATTTTGCTGCTGCTTCTAGTTACTATATGCAAGCTTCTTCAATCTGGGTTTCAAGTGGCAATCCACATCATCAGGTGCTTTATATGTTCTTTTCTTTTTTTTTTTTGGCTATGGCATTTTGTTAATTAATTCAATTGGGCTTTGGTTTAGTTAGTTATTTCTTGCTGATTAACTTTAAGTTACCCCATGTGCTTCTCAGCTTGCTATACTGGCTGGATATTCGAATGATGAGTTGCTGTCGATTTATCGCTATTTTAGAAGCTTGGCAGTTGAGAACCCTTTCATTACGGCCAGGGATAACTTGATCATTGCTTTTGAGAAGGTAAGTTAGGCATTAAATGGTTGCAGTAAAGTTCATCGTATTAGTACCTCTAATAGATTTTAAAAATGTTACTGGGTCATCAATTATCTACGGTTGCTACATGACTTTGTAACTGTTTCCTGGGAGAAACAGATATAGAATTAAACCAAAAGTAAATACTTCTGTTCATATCCTTCCTTCACATAGTAAAAATGACATTTGGAACCTAATGATTGCAAATGTTTTAGTCATGCAAGTGTAAGCTAGTGTTTTTTATTTTTATGTTAAATTAGCATGCCCCCCTAGTCCCCTACTCATTTAACAGTTCCTGAAGGATGGTAATGTGTACCATGTCTTTCTGGTATTGGTAGTCTGCATTTACTACGAAAGACCTTACATGGAGTTCAAGTTAATGTCTGGCATGTTTTTTCAATAGCTGAATATTCATTTTCTTGAGAGAGAGATTGCGAAATGATGCAGGGACAATTAACATGTTCTGTTTTCAACAGCATTAGAAATGTCTAATCAATAGCTTTCTTTCATTTTGCAGAATCGTCAGAATTATACTCTATTTCTTGGTGATGCTAAGACTGCTACCATGAAGACGACACCTCCAAGGGTTCCTGGGAAAGGAAGAGGCAAAGGGGAAACAAGGTCTTCATTGAAAGATAGTAAGACTGAGGCTAACATAGTTAAGAAAAAAGCATCGAATAATTTTGAGTTATTCAAAACTTTTGTGACGCGATTTGTGAGGCTGAATGGCATTCTCTTTACTCGCACGAGGTTTGTTTTGAACTTTCTAAAGTGTTATTTTTTTTTTCCCTTCAAAATAATCATTTACTGACTCTCGTCCTTCTACTTTGATCCTAGCCTGGAGACATTTGCTGAGGTGTTCTTATTGGTTAAAAGTGATTTGTTGGAGCTTCTTTCTTCTGGGCCTCAGGAAGAAGCCAATTTTGGTTCCGATGCTGCTGATTGTAGACTTGCAACTGTCAGGATGATTGCTATGCTAATATTTACTGTGCATAACGCGAACAGGGAAAGCGAAAGCCAATCTTATGCCGATATACTACAGCGTTCAGTCCTGCTTCAAAATGCCTTTACTGCAACCTTTGAATTTATGGGCTGTGTTCTTGAACGATGTAGCCAGTTATCTGATCCCTCATCGAGCTACTTATTGCCTGGGATTATGGTTTTTGTGGAGTGGCTTGCCTGTCATCAGGATGTAGCAACCGGGAGCGAAATGGAGGAGAAAGAGGTCAATGCCAGGTCCTTCTTTTGGGACAAGTGTATCTCATTTCTAAACAAGCTTTTGTCAAGTGGGTATGTATTTGTTGCTAAAGATGAAGATGAAACATGTTTTTCGAACATGAGAGAGTATGACGAGAGCGAGACTGCCAATCGTCTGGCGCTGCCCGAGGACTTCGAGTTGAGAGGGTTTCTGCCTCTTCTTCCGGCCCAACTCATTCTAGATTTTTCGAGAAAGCACTCATTTGGTGGTGATGGAGGTAGCAAAGAAAGGACGGCCCGCGTTCAGAGGATCATTGCAGCTGGGAAATCTCTTGCAAGCATTGTCCGAAATGGCCAGGAGAGTGTATATTTCGATACTAAGAAGAAGAAATTTGTGTGTGGTGTTGAGCCTCAGGATGTTGATGATTATTTACTGGAATCCAGTTTGACTGTTAGCTCGGTAGACATTTCTGTGGGGTTCCAAATGACATCGAAGACAAAGATTGGTTTGGAGGATGAGGATGAGGATGAGGATGAGGATGAGGATGAGGTGATTGTTTTTAAGCCGCCAATTACTGAGAAGCAAATTGATGATTTCACTTCAACTTATACTACTTTAGGGGTTCCTTCTCCGGTTGTCGGGTTTGGCGACATTAACTCTAGGAATGAGAGCAGGTCCTCTGTTGCAAATGATAGTCTTCTCTTACAGGGTCAATTGAGTTCGAGCTTGAGACTTTCCAACACTATTGCTAACGGCACTCCAGACTATCCGCAATCCGTGCAGCCCGACATGTTGAATTGGCCTGTTGAACACAATCCCATCATGAATAATTTGGCCAACTTAAATTTAGTGGAATATGGAACCCAGCTGAAATCTGAGCTGAAAGAAAAGTTTGGAGTCTCTCAACCAACTTCCTTCTCCATTCCCTACCCCCAGTTTGCTAGTAGTGGAAGTAACCAAAACCATTCCATTCAGACTCCCCAAGCTACCATGCCTTCAAAGTTTGATTCGATTGTAACTTCTGGGGCATCTGTCGATGGACAATCCGCGAAAATATCTACGAACATGCCACCGGGTCAAAAAAAGAATCCCGTGGGTCGACCAGTAAGACATTTTGGTCCACCACCTGGTTTCGGTTCCTTCCCATCAAAAGCTGCTGAAGAGATATCGTACAACACAGCCTTGAAAAACGAAAATCGCCAAACTGCACCGATGGATGACTACAGCTGGCTAGATGGATACCAGTTGTCAGCAAATCAAAGTGTTGGATTCAGTAGTTCAATGAATCTTGTTGGGCCAACTGGATTCCCTTCCGCGCCCCAGAGCAATGGTGAAATGGAGAGTACAACATTTCCTTTCCCTGGAAAGCAAATTTCGAATGTGCAAGTTCAGAGTGAAAAGCTTAAAGGCTGGCACGACCAATTTGGAGGGCATATGAATCAGTATGTCGATCATAACCAACAATTTCTGAATGCAAACCAGCAGCCTGCCGGTCCCACACAGCAGTATCCGGGACAGTCTATCTGGGAAGGTCGTTTCTTTGTGTGAGATAATCAAGAGAACATTGATGGGGAAGGTAGGTGTCTCTCGTTTCTTTTTAATACATCGCATATATCTGCACACACACACACAGACACATACACAACACAATTATATGATCCATTGATATAATTTTGTTTCTTGGGGGTGGGTGGCTGCGCCAAGTATCCTCATCTAACCTGTGTTTTAATGTTTTAGGTTGTGATCTATTTTTTGAAAGCACATGTCCGTGGTTGGATGCTCTTATCTCTACATCCTTTGCTGTTGTGGAATGGCCAATGTTTAGTAAGTTTCTATGGCACATGGTTCGTCTGGAGTGTTGCAGGCACCTGCAATTGAATAGGGTCTCTCTCTTTCTCTCTCTCTGTGTGTGTGTGTGTGTTGGGGGTGTGGGAGGTGGGGGTTACCATGACCATGCTTTCATTTATGTTTTGTTCTGCAATTATGGTATAATCCATTATTTTTTTATTAATGTGATAGTCCGTGGTTCTTTCCACTTAAATAGAAAGGGCTGAAATTTACAATTTGGCTTTTAGTGGACTAATTTACTGAAGTATATCTCATGTTACCTTATTTTTGACCTGGCTTTAATTCTGATTCTTCTTTTTTGCTTTCTATTTTTCCTTTCTTCTCTCTTTCTAAATATTTATGTGTTCTCTCTCTCTCAAAAAATATTATGTGTCTCACTTAAAGATGCTCTTTTGGTTTACTCACGCAGCATGGTGCCGAGTTTACCAGATTGGTCGAATGGAGGTAATTGGTTTCAATAGGTGAAAGTACGTGCGTGAGAAGTTTTTACAAGCTTGTTTGCGTTCTCTGGTTTGAATCGGTTGGGAATAAAGTCGCTGAGGCTCACCAGAATGTGGTTGTCAATGATGGGAATTGAAAGTTAATTAAATATTAGCAAAACCCTAAATATTTTGTGGTCGATGATGGTTTTCGTCTGAAAAGGCCCTCTTCTGTTTAGTGTCTGCCGTAAAATGCCGTGATGGATAAAGTTTCAGGAAGTGTGAAGAGTTACAATGATGTAATAATTATTTGCATTCTGGGCAAACTTTGAAGTTCTGGGCGCATATCGTCGTTTACAAGTGTGAGGTTATATCGTTTATGTTGCTATAGTTGGTTCTGAATAAGTATGTGATTACCTACAGACGCATCAAACAGATTTTTCAGATTTTCAGAGTTGTCCGTACCTTTTTAAGTATGAATTTGGGATTCTCTTTTTAGGTATTTTATTTTGTGATGTTTGGTTATCTGGATTTGCAGTGGTTGTTTTAGTTATCTGGGCGCACTGTTTTTAATCTGTTCGGTGTGTTTTGATCTAAACATGGATTAACACATCCATATGTGTGTTGATTTAATGGTAATAAACTCACGTGGATAGTAGTATGGAATTTAGAAGGGTACTACCAAAATATAGTATTTTATATTGGTGAAATAATTCGAAGAAAATTAGTCCATGCTCATGTCTTTGCGAGGAGAAAAACAGCTGCAGATTTGACAACAGGGATTAAATTATGGTTTTAAAAACATTTTTTTATGATGGCCAAGTTAGATCTTACTTGATTTTATCTTTTAGTACTGATGTTTGGCGGTAGATGTACTTTTGTGCTTTAACATGTACTTTGGTTTGTGAATGTTGGGAATTGAGCTGGAATTGTCCGTGATGCTCCACTTATCGGTCACGCTTAGAGATAAAGTAATCAATTTTACTAGATATAAATAAATATATTATTTATATGCAAATATTAGAAATTTTCAGATATATAAATACACCTCTTAATTTGTGCTTGGCATTTCAATTTTATTTCGTTCAGTATAATCTTACCGAACCTACGTGCCTAACTGATTTTAGTCACGTATTATTAACTCGGTTTAGTTTCAACTCTTCACCCAACTTTGGTCTAGTATTTATTTTCATTAAATTGAAAATAATTAAATAATAAAATAAAACAAAAGTAAGGTATTGCGAACTATTAATTCACAAATTAGTGTGTTGGACGACTTTAGTGTTGGGCGTGTCAAACCTTTTATATTTTAGTAAGAAAAATGCACAGTAGATATCGACATAATAAATAATATATACTAATAAGATTGTTGCTAGACATTGTATAGTATAAATATAAGTATATTTATAATTAAAAAAATGACAAGTCAACCCGGTTAATAATAATTAAAAATATTTAAAAATATTAAAAATGAATGCATTAAATAACAATAATTAAATAAAACCCTACATATTGAGCAAACGGGATTTATCGAAAATTACACCGACTATAGAGATGTTAAATGGTCCTTGACCCGACGGGCCAGCCCGTTTAGCCCGAAAAAAAAGAGGGTTATGTCTTTTTATTAGTAGCCCGTTTAAATCAAGCCTTTTTAGGCCCGGACCGTTTAACCCGAAGCGGCTAGGGCTAGCCCGAAACCCGCTAGGGCCGGCCCGTTTAACTAGGGTTGAGCGGTGTAAATGTTTGCATCAAGTAAGTAATATGCTCTTAAATTCCTTTATTATTACAATTTTGATATTCCACTTCACATGTAAGTACGAGTTGTAATGGATTATTATGATTTTGAAATATAATTATTAACAATATTGTTATTGTACTTCATACCAAAATATTTAAGTCAATCAGAACGACTACTAAGAAATACATGAAACATAGTGATGGACGGTAAATACTAAATAACCATTGAAAATAATTTTTAACTTGTCGTTGTTATTTTTTTATATTTTTTACTCTTTTTATTTTTTATATATTATTATTATTATTATTATTATTATTATTATTATTATTATTATTATTATTATAGTCATAGCCCGCATAGCCCGTTTAGCCCGAAGCCCGCTAGGGTTAGGGTTAGGTCCTTTTTTGGTAGCCCGTTTAAATTCGATCTTTTTAGGCTCAGACCATTTAACCCGAAGCCCAATTGGGCTAGCCCAAAACCGTTAAGGCTAACCCGTTTAACATCTCTATCTGACTATTTTAATCCGAAAGTTTTGTTTTCATAACCAAGAGATGGGTCCACTGAACCCCACCCAGTGGATCATGAGTCATGACCGACGTATGTACCCTTTCGAATTTCCATTGCCTGACGCATCAAAATTTGACCCCAAATGACTCCAAATTCTTTCTCTCCCAAAATCAAAATGCCTCCTTTATCGAGGACGATGAGTCCCAAATTTTCCTTTTTTTTCCCTTTTAAATTTTAGGAATAATTATCGAGCAGTAATGCAGATTCTGTAGAGCCCAGTTTTAGTGTGGATTTTGTTGCTCTTCGTGTGCAGATAGCAGGAACAGTAACCTACAGATTTAGAATTTTTCATATAATTTGCTTTGATTCCTTTTTTATTTTTTCTGGATTAAATGTCTGAATTGGTTGCTCGAACTGGTCGGCATCAGCANATGTGTACACATGTTTGTTTGTGTGCGTGTGTGTGTCTGTGTACATATTTTACATATGAATATATGTATGTCTCCATGCATGATTATGTAGGATGGGGAGTTTGTTTGTACGTGGGATTTTGTTTCTGTGTTATCAATTGAGGTAATGTGGAGCTGCTGGAGTTGTTTTTCCTTTTTCGGGGTGTGCTCAGGGAACTTAATTGTGTGCGTGCGCGCGCGCGTGTGTATACATCTCTACTTATGCATTGATGTGTAAATGGGTGTTTGTTTGCTTGTGGGATTTTGTGTTTGTGTTCCTAATTTGAGATAATGTTGAGCTACTGAAGTTGGTTTTGGAGTGTGCTCAGGGAGCTTAATTTTGTGTGTGTGTGTGTGTGTGTTTAATTAAGAAAATTTGGAACTTGTAGTTTTGTACTTTGGAGTGCTTGGCTTTTTGTTAAAATAGGATAAAATTAAAGGAAGTTTTGTGATAAAGTATTATGTGATATTAAACTCATGGAATTTTTTCCAAGAGGCAGGGTGTTTATGTTTTACTGCTATTGCTTCAGGAGAAATTTGTTTAAGATGAATATGTGAAGTATATGCGATCGATTAATTACTTTGGGGTTTTTTCATTGATTAGTATTCTTGTTCAAATATTTGTATTTGGTATTTGGGGTTCTAATTGGACTCCCGAGCATTTATCGTTCTTTTTCGGTTATGGGACCAATTGATTAGGATCGGAATTCATTACAGATTACCTGTTCTAATCAACAGTCATTTTTCAGATGTATTCCCTTCAGATATAGGAACGTGGAAGAAAATGGTGATGGCACATCTGAGAATATAGTTGAAGTTCTAATGATCACCTCAACTGGGGGACCTGGTCTTGTATTTCCAAAGGTTAGAATTTTGGGCATTTGTATCTTTATAGTAACTAGAAACGATTTACATTTCCCCTTTTGCTGGTTGTGAAGTCCTTTTGTGGTTGCTATTGTGGTAGCATTGACTTTTATGACTCCTTTTTTGTGATATAACGGTAATGTGCATGAAGAAGCCTACAGCAATAATTGTCTTTATTTTATTTTGTTATACACCTCATTGCTTCAACTTTCTATTTATCTATTTTTGAGAAACAAACGTCTATTTGCTCTGAAGAGCTGTAAGTGGCCTACAGAAACCCATGATTTAGTATGTTCACTTAGACGAAGGGTGGTGCCTGCAAAAATTTGGGATAATTTTCTATATTTGGTGGCATTTGTACATCGGTTTGGAATTGAGCTTTCTTGCAACAGTGAAGTATGTATGTGCATTCTAATCCTACACAGTATTGAAGCTTCTATATGATGCTTCTCTCTTTATTTTTTGGATTCTATCTTTGAAATGAAAGATCATCATAAGCTACCGGATATAATCTCTTTAATTCTGCATTTCTCTTTTCCTTTTTTCCTTGGGTATCCTCCATAAACGTGGCAGATTTTTTTTGTTGCCTATTATAATTGTTATCGATATTATGTAATATGTATGAGCTGGATTTTACAATTATGGCTACCATTTTTTATGGACCAAGAAAAACAAAGTTGTAACACTCGTCAAACTTTTCTTGTTCTTCTTGCTTTCTGAATAGGGTGGATGGGAAAATGATGAAACAGCTGAGGAGGCAGCAGAAAGAGAAGCCATGGAAGAGGCTGGCGTTCGAGGAGATTTAGTGGTAAAAATATTATAGCCTTTACATTTCATTTTCAAGTCCTAAACTGCCCGATACGAATGTGCATTTAGTTTTTGGTGTCTTGCTTATTTTACTATAATGTATTCTGTCAATGTGAAATTTACAGTGGTTAAGAAGCTCTATATATTTTTTGGTGATTATGGAAAAAGATTATTATATCGTACCTGAAATATTTATTGCTATCCATTTTCAGCATTTCTTGGGTTCTTATCCTTTCAAGAGCAAAACACTCCTGGACGAGTACAGCCCGGAAGGCTTGTGCAAAGCTGCCATGTATGCACTGCATGTGAAAGAGGAGCTCGAGTGCTGGCCCGAAAAAAGTCATCGGGAAAGAAGTTGGCTCACAATAGGTGAAGCCATTGGATGTTGCAGGCATGCTTGGATGCGTGAGGCTCTCGAGAAAGGCTTTTCGAGTTGGTTTGCTGATGGCATGGCACACACATTGTCAACAAAGGGTTTCTCTAATTTGTCGGCCAATCAATTTCTTTGACTTTTCTAGTTTTTATATCTATTTTGTTTGATTTTTTTTTTTTAGAACTCTAGTTGCGGTGTCATCCCAAAGCTGATTTTGATATAGACATTATCCTTTCTTTGGAGGACAAGGGAAATTAAGGGTATTATACAAATAGTTCTTTTTGCTTGGGGGTTCAAATTTTCTTCATTTTTTATGGGGATCTTTTGGCTTCTTTGTCCTAGAGAGAAGGTCCTTTAATCCATTTTCACCAATTGTTAATATCAGTTCAAGTACTGAACAATGTTGAATACGTGATTAAGCACTTGTTACAAGATACTCATAAATCATGAGCCCAGGCAATTCTTTTTTTTTTTTTGGCAAGAAGTCACAAAATATTGATATCTGCCCCAGTAAGAACAGTTTAAACCATGACCAAATTGGGGAAACTAATGATAAATTCCTCAAGTATGATAACATAACCTAAGTCTATCATCTAAACCAAAAGTAACTTAAACCCTATTATGTTCCTCTTCATCGTTCCTCATCATCAGCCATTCGAAAAATCCAGGAGAGCTACAAGCTCACCCTGCCCTGCTTATGCTTCCATATATCTCTACACGATATACAAAATGACAATATTAATGTCAAATAAATTAAGCATGGCTCGTTCAACCTATTGCTCGTGCTTAACACGCGCCTTTAATATTCCCGGTAAAGGGGTAGAGTGGGGTGGCCTACTGATTAAATTTGGCCTGGATTGATGAGCCATTTGAGATTGATACATGTCGACCATGCTCGAGCTCTCGCCTATACTGGTCTGAATATGTTTTGGCGCACCGTTATTTTGTGGTTTTCCACACAATTTCATTGCCTTCAGAACGTAATTATCATCGTGCAGCTCAAAAGGGGTGCTGCAGTTACGATAAATACAGCAAGTGTGTTAGAGATATGAAATGAAACAAATATCACCAAAAAAGAACAATTTAAAATTACAGAAAACCTTGATATTTGTATTATGTTGGTTATTGAACCGACAATTAAAAAAACTGAAAATTCTTGGATAGTCTGATGATATGTGATATTCACAATATGAATGCAGGTAATTTTGTTTAATCCCTTACCTACTAAAATCAAAATGCACCAGCTGCATATCTTCTGATATTTCCACCTCCACCGTAGCATGAGGGCGGGTCTAACAGTCACATAAAAAAAAAATCAACTTGAAGCATGAGAATTGATTGAGAAAACCTCATTTCGAAAAAAAAAATGGGTCGTACAAGTCACAGGCAAATTATGCAGCATGCAATGATATAAATGAACAAAAATAACCACTCCAACTGTACCTTGACCAATATGAAAGGCAATGCAACTCCACCATTCGGAGCATTTCCCGAGCCATATAGTTGCTTATTGCGCAGTACGAGTTTTTGAAGACCAATGTACTGCAACAAAAACATCGGTTTGAAATATAATTACAAATGAACCGACTATACTTTTCTTCGAAGATAATTCATGATTTTTGTTTTATTTAGGCCAGAACTCAGAGTAATTTTTGTAGTTATACCTAAACCAACTTCCTGTGAAACCCAAAAATGCAGAAAATTCATTAGTAGTTCTTACTTGTTCCTCAAGCTCTTCCAGATAAGCTGCTTTCTTCTCAATGCGATTTCGAAGTCCAAGACGTTCGGCCTGCAAGCAAGTGCATACAAACCAAGGAATAAATGATGTGGATAAACCTATTAGGAATATTGAGATATACTTCTTGTAGAATCCAAAGATTAAAAAAGGAGAGAAAAGGCCAAGAGAAAATAATGTACATATATATAACCTTGAATTCATCGATGTCATCCAAACTAGTCCGTGGTAGACCCTTCCACTGTATATCCTTTTTATCTTTAGAGATAATATCCATAGCCATTAGCACGTTTAGAGCATCATACACTCTTCGACGTATGTTTTTCTCATCATATTGTTGCTGTTGTATTTATTAGAGAAATTATAATTGCAACTTGAATATATTAAGATCTAGCAGCAACTGCATGAATGGAATATATTGCGATAACAAGAACTACAAAAAATAACAAGAACTACAAAAAACCTGGTCGGGTGATGAAAGGTCGCTGCAAGGTTCAGTGAATTCGGCAACCAGTGCATCGGCCACCTGAAAGACATTATTTATGCCATTACCAAGCACTTTAACTATGACAAAGGTGTTCTCCACATGAGTGTGAGAAAAATGATAAATTCCAAATACCTCCAAATGGAAGAGAGTTGAGATGAAAGTGCAGAACAATTGAAAGTATAAGACATATAATCCACAAATCATATTAAATGAAAGAAAGAAAGAAAGAAAGAAAGAAAGAGGAGAAAAAGAAAGCAAGAAGTAAAACCCCTGAGGAATGGTCGAAAATGATGTTCAAACTAGTCTTTGTGGTTTTAAAGGTTAAGCTAGCCCAAAAATAAGTCATACAGAAGATGAAATATGACAATCCCTGAGAAGTGGCCAAAAGCCAGGAATAAATTTTAAAAGACTTTCCTCAAAAACCATAGATCAAGAACAAAATGGTAGGTGCATTTTTTGGTGAATGAAGCAACTAACTGCCAGCTAAAGAAAACGCTGTCCAAGGTTCAATACAGACGCATAACACATATATCCTTCACAGTCAACAATTATAGGGTCTCCATGTGGCCATATTAACAGCCTTTAACGACCTACAGTGTTTCAGAAAAATCGCAACATTGGAAAATGAATGTCTACTACATGTAGCCAAATTCAGAAAAGATCTAACCTCATTATATGTAGTTCTCCCTTTGCTTTCCACTTTCTCACAGACTGCACACACGAAGAACAATAAGTTAATCAGTATCACAGTGTTCATGGTTAGTTAATTACAGTTCCCACGTTACCAGAAAAATCAACTGGAATATTTTAGAAAGCAAAATGAGAGAAGTTATGTCTTCCTCTCGATCTAGTTCTGACTAAAAAGATACTGCACAAGTCGAGAGGTTTCTCAAGCAATTTGGTTCAACCTCAGAATATAAAAAGAACTGGAAACCAGAAAATATACCTTAACCAGAATATTTTTGGATTTTTCCTACCACACTAGCCATGACGTTCAATAGAACATGCTTCCATATTAAGAAATAAGGACGATAAATAAGAGACAGTATAAAATAAAAGGTACCTTTCATGCTAAACTGACGAAGCCCCCGACCATTCTTATCACCTCCAACTGCTCGTTGTCCTCTCTTCTTCCTCCTGTTGCTGTTGAAACAAATTGATAATTTAAATGAAGCGGTGAAGAGGCAATTTTCACAACAAGAATCCCTCTGAATTTCAATAACCGAATATAAGGATAACTTTCATCAGACTACAAGAAGTTTATATCATCACCCACATACTAAAGAAGTACCATCATATAACAAGAAAATTCACAACATAAACCTCCACCAAGACTTTGCAAACATCTCCCTAGCTAACACTCAATTAACATCACTGTTTATCAAAACAATCCGCCATGAATTCTGCAAAAGTAAGGTATAAAACTAAACTAAAGCTATTTCACCTCCCACATTACATCAAATAACATAAACGCCAATAACAAACGATTCAAACAAACGCGACAAAAAGAAAATGGAAAAACAACACGAAGGCTTACCTAGGAGTCCCCTGAAATCCAGCATCATCCCCTTGGATATCGAGATTGTTCAACAAGAGAAATGTGCTGTCGCCAGCTGTAGCCGCCACTTTGGCTTCACTCCGGCTGGATGGAGACCCAACACTGCTACTAGTCGACATGGAATGGCCAGAACCAGTGGGGCCCCACGACCCTGTGGCTCCACCACCACCTCTACTGGCGGCCAACGGGTTCTCATTTTCTTCGACCCGGTTGCTAGCGTTACTATTGCTGAGGTTCACCATTTCCAAATTAAAAGAAAAAACAAGGGATTTAAGATTACCCAATACAGAAACTGAGTTCTTCAAAAGGTCTAACAACTCAAAAACTGGCGCAGACAACAGAATCACCAAGAATGTTTCGCAGAACGAGTGAGTGAATTCATATGAACAAAATAATCCCAGAAAAATAAGCCCACGGAGAAGGAAAAAATCGACGAAAAAATCGAAAACGCCACAGCCCAATTGGAAATTCCGAAATATGAGATTCTCGACAGACCAGTCTATCAAACAGTACCAAAAAAAAATGGTAAATCAGCTGTTAAAAGGCAAATTACACAATATTTTTCACTACGAATTTTCTTCGATCAAAATAGAAACCAGTAAGCAGCCAAAAGAGAAGCTCGTGAAGCTTTTGGTTAGCTCTGTTAATGGCGCAAGTATTTTGTTGACCTGTGAAAAAAAGGGGGAAAAAGCAAGGGAATGTGTATGTAGTGTTTGCGTGAAGGAAGGTATCATAGAGGGAAAATTATAGTTTTTAAATTAATTAATTAATTAAAATTCAGAATGACAATGTTTCTATGCTTAACAAGTAAATTTAAGCTTATCTTTCAAAAGTATGAGCCTAGTAGTCCAGTGCACCGTAATAGATATTCATTAATATTTATAATTAATAATTTTTAATAAGTAATATTTATAAATAAAAAATATGGAATCAATATGTAATACAATTATTTATACTAATTTATTGAACATGTTATATAAAGTTTAAATTGTATAAAATTACATAAAAGTGTCTATTTAAAATTAGTACACGACTCGTGTGGTACACATAACTGATAATAAATTACATTATATTCGTTTCAAACTAAGTATAATTTCAAAAAAATTATTCAGAAATTCGATTTAACTATAATGTGATTCTATAAAATAGTTATTTTGGTAAAATATTATCATATATTTAACAACCTATGTTAATATTAAGTAGAAATATAAAATTTATATTGTTTCATTACTTAACATAATTTTTTTTGTATAAATTATTCAAATAATAATAAATTAAATAGTTGAGTAATTTATTAAACTACAAATAATTGACTATTTCGTTTACGTCAAAGTTAGTATTGACCATAAGTTATTGAGTAATTTATTAATTATAAATAATTGACTGTTTCGTTTATGTCCAAGTTAATATTGACTTGTAAGCTATGAATAATTATTTTTTTATTTTAAATTTTAAATAAAAAACTTTTTATTTTTTTAATATATTATATACCAAATTTAAACCATGCAACTAATAAATGTAGTAGCTGCAAGTTTTGTCAATATATTATATTTTAAATTTAAAATCATGCAACCAATAAAGGTAATAGCCGAAATGTTTGACCAAAATGATTCTGTACATTAATTTAGGTGGAATTTTTTAAATTTTTACTAAAAATATTACTCAATATAGTAAANCAAAGCGAAGCACGCAGTAAAAAAAAAAACCGTATGTCCGATGATTGCATTTCCGACTTGTTATCTAACATGGAGAAATGAGATAACATGCGTGTTACAAATAAAAAAATAAAATCAAAATTAGTATTGTGAATGATGTTCACTCTTCATCACCTAAAACTTTAAAACATCATTTATTTTATTACGTTTAAGTGTTTAACTCAAATTCACTTGTGGGTGTACTATTGAAATATATTGACATTCACTCTCGATTAAGAGTCATATTTTTTACAAAGTACATCATTTTTTATTTTAAATTTTTTGATATGTTGTACTTCTCATTTCGACATCACATGATAAAGTCAAATACGTAAGGAGGCGCTTGTTTATGGAATAATTTATTTAAAATTAATTATTTTGGTTAATCATAGTTAATTTTGAAAAATGTTGTATGGTTAGTTGTTATTGAAATTTTAAGAATATATTAAAATAATATTTAAAATAAAATGATTAAAATTGATTTGATGTAAAAGTATGAGATAAATGATTGAAAATGATTAGAAATGATAGGTAGTTAAAATTATGTGAGTGGATGAATAGTGAATTAAAGTTGATGTGATGTGTAAGAATGGTTGGTTTGTATAATTTAATTATATGAATAATATTAAAGATAGCGGAATTGAGTTAAATTTTGAGTATGAATTGAATGAGAATGAAATAATTTGTAAACAAGCATGCTAAGCTTCTAACAACTGATTTGTTAACCGCGTCCTACAAAATCGAAAGCTCTTGTTTTTTTATTGTCAAAATTAAAAATTGGAAGTAAATTACAATTCGTAATTTTATCTCCAATTTAGCCTCCATATTATATTTTGACCGCTCAAATAATTATTTCAATCCTTTTTCATATAGAATTAATTTTTACCATCATATGTCAAAGTTATTTAACGTCCACAAAAACGTGGATGAAGTATTATTACCGACGGAAAGCAAGGACATGAAGATTAAACGGGACAATTGAGTAGCATACTAGCATCCAACAAAACGGTCAAAAAGAAGAGACAGACTTCACTAGTGTAGATATGGCATGCGAGCCATTGAAGATGAAATGGCTTTTGACTTAATTATTATACTGTTTGCTTTTGGCTTTGGCGTAATGAGTTTTTTGCATATATGAAATAATGCAAAAGTTCATAGAGAACTTGAATTATCCTGCAAACGAGTCGAGTAGCTCGTGACAACACAAGTCGAGAGTTTGATTGAGCTCGAGCATTTTAAATTCCGACCTTAGTAGCGCTCGACAAGCCTCTTTAATATGTACCTAAATACCCCTAACTAGACATTTCTATTTGAACTTTTTTAGTCGATATCGAGTGAAATTAAAGTTAATTTCAATCGTCTGAGATTTTTTATCGAGTCGAGCCTTGCATCACCTCGAGCAAGATGGGCTCATCGGGCTCGAAAAAGTGTAAAACAATATCAAATATGGCTCGATAAGGCCAATACTCGACTCGCTTGCATTTGTAACCAAACTAACCATACACTAAGCCCCACATCTCCAAAACATCATAAGCTCAAAACTTCATTCGGCAAACAATCATNATTCTCTTCCTTAATCCTAAAGCTCGGCAAACGTCGACTTCCACAACACGTCGGACCGCGCCACAAGACTGCTCAACGCATTACTCGGGACCACATTGTCCCCCTTCAATCTCTCTTGAAACCCATAAGCCGGTACTTTCCCATTTATATACGCGTACAAAAGCGACTTATACGGCTTCACTGCAGCCGGGTACCCAGCCTGCTTCATCCACCTAAAAATCTTTTCCGCATTCGCCACGTCACCCCTGCCAGCATACACGTCCAGAACCGCCAGGTAGGATCCCATCAATGGCTTCTTCTGCTTCTTATTCTTCAACCCGCCGGCCTTCTCCAAAATCGAGTCGGCCCTCTCGACCTCACCTGACTCCACGTAAAGTCTCACGAGCGCATCCCAAGTGTGGGGCCCAACATAGCACTTACTCTCTGCCATCCTCTCGACTAAATCTTTTCCCTTCTCCACCATTTTATGGTTCGTGTAAACTTTTAACAACGCGATAAAATGCTTCAAGGAGGGCTTTTTCATTCCCCCCTCCAATTTACGAAAAGCCCCCTCGGCCTCCTCGACGAGCCCGACTCGCCCAAAGGCATCGATTGCCGCTAAACACTCGTTGAAACTCGGGCTTTCGGGCCCGCAGGCCCGCCAGAGCCTCCGGACCTCATCCGCTTTCCCGAGAAGCCCATAAACCGGGAGTAGAAACTTCACAGTCCAGCGGTTTTTTACGAGATTGCCCCCCTCGATTTTTTTCAGTATAGCCTCCGATTTGTCGAGGAGCCTGTTCGATGCGTAGTGGCGGGCTAAAGTCAGCTGGGTCTTGAAATTTGGCCCACAAGATGATTTTTTCATCGTCTCGACCACTTGCTCCATGCCAGGGATGTCGCCCAGCTGGCCCTTGGTGTCGATGAGTATGTGGTAAGTGAAATGGTTGGGCTTCACGTTTTCGTTTTCCATTATTGTGAGGACTCGGGAGATTTTGTTCTTGTCGACTCTTTGGTAGAGGAGGAGGAGAAGGTTGCAGGGGAAGGGCGTGAGGGGGAATAGATTTTTCATCTTGCAGAAGAGATCTTCGGACTTGTTCACGTCGCGGGCGGAGACAAAGTTGGCGAGGAGGGTGGAAAAGACGATTTCGCCCCTGTACGAGTCGGGCACGTATTGGATGTACTCTTCTGCCTTGTGAACGCCACGCGCTTTGGCGATTAGGTCGAGACGGGATGCGTAATTCTTCGCGCTAGGGATGAAGCGGCCCGTGGACTCTAGCCACTCGGAAAACTGCCGAAAATAGGATAGTAATAAAAAGTTAAAAACACACTTGGGAATTTAAGGAGGGATTGGATATATATATATATATAAAAAAAAAAATGATTTTTTTTTTTACATTTTTTTTTTTTTGGTTGGAAATAGTGATTTCAAGCTGAAGATCCAAAAAATTTACACCGTTCAATCATGATGCATTACACTGCCTGTTCCCCTAACAAATTCATTATTCATCCATGTTAGACATGTTAGAACTAACAGTCAGGTATTGTTCTACTATATTTATATAGCATCAACTTCAATACACATTCTCAACAAATTTCCCAAAAACAAAAAAAATGTTCTTGCTTTCAAAATTATTCATCACTATTCTCCAGAAGAAAAAAGGAAATGAATTTTTTTCAAAGTGAAAGTATGTCTAATTGCACTTTCAATGCAACACTATACTTGTTTAATATTCGACAAAATAGTTGTGCCCTTGTATGAGATACTTAGAATCATCCCTTTTCTTCCTTTAGCAATCATGATTCATAACGGCTTCTTCTTATATTATATCTTAGCATGCATAAGACATAATAGAAAAAGCTATGCAAAGATACAGCATAAAAAATTGCATGGATTGCTAAACCTTATCAATTTGAAATTTTAGACAAGAACAGAACAAAAAAAAAGAAAAAAAAAAAAACAAGGATTTACACACCTGCAAGGCTGTGTTGAACATTCGGCGCTTACGGAAGCAGCCGATGGTTAACGATATTTGGTCTTGGGTCACCTCATTTCCTTCTTTAATCCATTTCTCCGCAGCCTCGCTAAAGCGCAAAGTGGGGGATGCCATTATAGCCTCAGCCATTGTCGAATTAAAAATCTTCCGGCTCGATTTTGTCTTCCCAGTGGCATTGGTCTCTGATTCAATTATCTCTAGCTCGTTCGCCACATCATCATCATCGATGGTTTCGCCTTCTAAGAAGTCTGACTCGGACAACGATTCATCATCATTTTCTTCCAAAGAAGGTCCTTTCTGAGCAGGGCTCTCGAGTTCGGAAAAGGCATCTTCTTCCGAGTCATCTTCTTGGTCCTTGCTCTTGGCCTCGGTCCCCGAGCAAAAAGCGCGAACTTTCATGGAAGGGTATGGAGAACTAGATGAGGTGTTATATGAATTTGCATGATTTAACAGTGTTGGTATTTGGGTTTTTGAAGGCAGGATGTTTCCCTCACTGTGATTTTCCGAGTAAAATCTTTCTATCTCTGGCTTTGCACATGAAATCCGGATGGTTCTGGAACTTAATCCTCGATTCCTGAAAAGAAAGAAGCCATAGAGCACCCTACTTCGATTACATGAACAAGAAAAAAAAAGTGAAGTTTAATGTAAAATAGATTGAATAAATTAGGACAGAGTTGATAAGGTAACATGTGGGGAGCGAAGCAAACAGGGGAAAAGACAGCTCATACATTCACAATCAAGATTAGCGTTGGCTTATACAGGAACAGGAGGAACAGGGGAAAAGACAGCTCATACATTCACAATCAAGATTAGCACGCGAAAGTTATCACAACAAAAGGGAAAAGTGATTGTGTCTGTAAATACCAAAAGACTTCTACTTCAACTGTATAAAGCGGATTTCCATTTTTTCATAGGCAGTTTATTCCACCTCTTCAGTAATGCACACAGATTATATAAAAAGATATAATCTTTCATAGGAGATCAATCTAAAAAAATGTGGGGAAATGTTTAAGTGGGTAAAATATCAAATGTAGCAAACTAAATTACTGAATAAGACGATATTTCATCACAAAAACCACATTAACTGTCTCCTGCTAAGCATTGCTAGCCATTTCATCTCCTTCTGAGCACAAAATATACACAGACACACAACAAAGATAGAGCGAGAGGAGCTGACTGCCCAAGTAATATTCATCGACTACTGATACACTAACAGTAAGCAAAAACCACTTGTAATCTCAAAGTTAAACCATAGAAACTATACAACGAACTTTCAATACAACAAGCATGATGTTACACACCCTCACGTATAAGAAAAACTGTAATGTGTCATACTTTTTCAACATATATGCATACTTTCAAACTAAAATATCACACTCTAAAAGACAACATAAACAAAAGTATGACATTACATAAGTATGCATTTTCGTCACAGAAGTATAATGGGTCGACCCGTCTAACATTTATTCCACCTAACACAAGAACTCGTTGAAAAGAAATAAATAAATACACACCGAAATTCAGAGCAATTGTACTCCATCCAACATGCGCTAACCATCATGCATCATCTGAATAAGCAAACATAAACCCTCAAATCATGGCAATTCCCCATCAATCTCGTTCGTTAAGCAAAACCCAGAAAATCATACACACTGACGCATACACTGCAAAGAAATTACCACAAGTAACAGATTAAAAAAAACCCAATTCACGTGGGCGAAAAAGAACACCAATGATACATATGCAATTATCCAGCATTCGACGACATCAATATAGCAATTCCTCATTAGTTCTGTTTGTTAAGCAAAACCCAGAAAAGCACACACTCAAGCAGACACTGCAAAGAAATGGTCACAGCTAACAGATCAAAACAAAACCCAATTCCCGTGGGCGAAAAAATAAAAAATCACATATGATACACAAAAGGCGCCAATCAGACTGTTAGCTCAGAGAAATGAGGAAAAAACACGCAATTATCAGCCAGTCGATAACGTATGAAATGAGATACTGGGTGATTACTTGAGCTGAAGCGAAGCTCTTCGAAGTGCCCACATGGCGATTGTTCGAAATTCTTGGAGATTTGAAGCAACAACCTTAAAAATGTTGCGAAGGAGATGGAGAATGCGAATCAGAAGTTGTAAAGCCCTAAACCCCTTTCATCTATCGTGATGAAGGTTATGAAAAAGAAAAACGCTTGGTATTTGAGTTTAATTTCTTTATGCTAATGAAATAAAAATAAATAAAACTACATGTGAGATTGGATATATTTTTATTGAGTGACAAGAAGTTTTGTTAGTGAAAATAAATTAATGGAAAGGTTAATACTTTTAATTATAAATTAATGTAATAGGAAATAATAATTAATTGTGATGTGGTATGAAAATAGTAAAATAATATTTATATAGGTGAATATATGAATTGATAAATAATAATTTTCTATAGATAAATGTTTGGGATTATTGATTTTTAATTTACAACTTATAGCGCATTTTTATATTTTACATGCCAAAAATTGTCAGGATCGCACATTAATCATTCATATATTTCTAACCATATATCATAAGTAATTTTTAATTTTATCAAAATTTCGTAACCAGAAATCCCATACAGGACAAAATTAGTGGATTTGTTTGGATTTTTTGATTTGGTTTGATTAATTTTGAAAAATGTGGTATGGTTAGTTGTTAGTGGATATATTAAAATAATATTTAAAAAAAATAATTATAGTTGATTTGATGTACAGATAGGAGAACATGATTGGAAATGAGTGTTAGTTAAAATTATGTGAGTTGATGAATAGTGAATTAAGGTTGATGTGATGTGTAAGAATGATTGGTTGATATTATTTAATTATATTAATAATATTAATGATAATTGAGTTGAGTTAAAGTTGAGTTAAAAAAAGTGATTGAGTTAAAAATGTTTGGATTTTTTTGGATAAGATTTATATCCAAGCATCCTCTAAATTTTGCACAGACAATTCTTTAAAAACAATAATATGATAATGTTTGAAAATAAATTTCACACAAATAGTCTGTGGTGTATTGAGACTTTCTCTCTCTAAAAAACAAAATCCTCAAATTCTTTCACTCGAACCCTAGCGGCGATTCTCCTTTGGTGTGCCTCCCCTCCAGCAGCCCTAGCCATCTAATTCCGGCGACCTTCCGGCTCGCCCAAGGTTCGGTGGAGCGGCAGCAGTGGGCCGTTACTTATCCGTCCCTGTAGTGGTCTCCGCTCGAGTAGATGAGCTCCAGAGCGGGCGAGGAAAGGCGGACTACATCGGCGGTCGTGTTCCGACGGTGGCTGCGGGCAACCTTGCGGTAAGTCTGTGGCGATGGCCTTGCCTTGGTTTCCCCCTATTCCAGTCGTCCCTGGTGTTGAGACGATGCGGTCCTCCGGCGGCGGCTATATGGTTGCGT